AAATGCGTAACAGCATTCTGCATCAAAGCACATCCAACAGTACTAGTACATTGTAGGAAGTGAGCAGAAACAAAGCTGTTATGCAATAAATCAATTCAGTGGAATGTGATACAGTATATCATCATTTTACTCATGTGTTAAGTGTAGAGAAAGTGCAGAGAGCACCTCTAATCATACTTTAAGAACAAAATGAGATGAGAAGCTTTACTTAAATGTGTTCCTTTATCCTGAGTCTGTCTCCTCATTTGTGCGTGAAAAGGGAAGAAAAGCTTAACTACCAAAACTTTTCCTGGGTCTGTGAAACTTGCTCTTCAGTACTTGAACCATTTACAGCATTTAATAGTCCAACATTTTCTTACCCACAGTTACCAGGATGCCAAAGACAGACTGGCAAAAACAAGACTGCTGGCTCCAGCTTACTTTATTCTGGGTGGAAAAAATTCTGGAGAAGGGTGTGTGATAACTCGATCCAGGACAGCTGCTCTGGATATCTGGGAGTGAGTATGCTTGACCTGACACCTGACTCAGCCTTCCAGAAGAGGACAGGTTCCACCAATAATTGTGTGCTCTGTTTCTTGTGACTTCTGTTGCACAAGAACTGACTTCTTTACCATCATTGAAAAATACCACAGCAAGCCTAAAAAAATAATGCATCTGTGTATAGTATATACTGTATATGTGTACTTACTATATACTTAGAGAAGCAAAACACAAACTTAAACCTCTTTTCCAGCCTTGATATCAAGAAGGGCACGTGGTACGTGTTAGAAACCAACTATGATCGCTGGAAGCCTCCACTGGTGCTAGATAATCGTAGAGGACCTGCAATGAAATGCCTGAACCAGACAACACAAGAGGTAAACATCCTCCAAATACCTCATATCCTGCTGCTCTGAAATTCCCAGGTTGCAGTACTGACCTTACACAGCCAGAAGCATTCGGGTTATTTTCAAGCACAGCTATAATGACACAAGTGGCTGATGATTTTGTGGTAACTTGTCTCTGCTTCTGGGTTGGAAGAAGCTGGCTTTTTACATGGGGAAAGTTTGTGGGTTTTTTGTTTATTTGTTTGGGGTTTTTTGGGTATTGTTTTGTTTTTTGGTTTGGGTTTTGCTGGTGATTTTAGGGAGGATTGGGTTTTCAGGATTCTTTTTGGTTTGGTTAGTTGGTTTGTTTGTTTCGGGCTTTCTTTTCCTAGGTGAGTTTCCTGAAAGGATCTTCAGCAGCTGCATATGCAGGAGGGTACACCCAGAGATACCTTGAGAAAGACTTTTGGTGTTTTTAGAGTAGTTTTACCAGTGAAATTCAAATACACACGCTGGGACAGCAAACAAACTTAAGTGTGCCATGCTGTACTAAGATCTGGTCTGGTCAAATTTTTGCAGCCTTGATTCTTCTGATATCAAAGTGTTATGGGTATCTTGTATTTTTAAAGCTGTATCTTGTTATTTGAGGTGTAAAAAAGTTAGTTCTCAGCATTTACATTAACAGGTAATGCCCCTAAATATCAGTGTATTATTTTCTTGCAGAATCTCTCCCTACCTGCAATTTATGATGTTCTCTCCACAAAGCCTGTCCTCAATAAGGTAATGCTTCTATTTCTGCAGGAGGTTTAGAGTGGGGGGCAGACCACTAACTACTGTACCTGTAAGAAGGAGGCTTCAGTGGTACACTCAGAGTTTTTTAGGTGAAAATATGTATGTAAAAACAAACCTTACATTACTTTGTGAAAGCAAAATGTAATTGCTAGAGTAGCTATTTCCCGAAGGCCATACAGCTTTAAAATTCTCAGTAGCCTGAGCCCTTTCCTCGTAGCTGGCCCAGGTTTCAGGCAGCAGCTACTCTGCAGACATCTTGAGCACCCTTCTAACCAGAATTAAGGTGTGATCTATGTCTTTGTAATTCACATAAAACAAGTTAACATACCTCATTATTTAGGCATACTACAGGCACATTACTCTTGCAACACAAGAGGTTTTAGTCTGGAATTGAAATTTTTGTGTTTAGGAAAAAAAATCTGAAGGAAATAGTTTTTAAGAGTTCTTCAATGGTGAAGTTTAGTTCCTGTGTTAAGTGGAGGGAGCATTCTTGACTGAGAACACAGACAATTCATACTCGCATGTTTTTGACTGAAGAAGGTAAATGCTCGTTTTAGTAGAACTGTTCAGCTGTATCAGAGAGAGTTTTTTCTAATTCCTCTAATGTGGTTTATTTTCTTTTTTCTTCTTCCTCGGCCATGGCCATTAGCTGACAGTGTGCACAACGCTGATGGAGGTGTACAATGGCCACACAGAGACTTACCTGCGGGAATGCCCAGATCCCTGTAGTCCTTGGTAGCCCTGTACCTCTCCGTCTGGGAAGCTGCTTGTCCCAATTGGCAGTCCTCCACGAGAAAATGCTTCTGGAAAGAGATTACTCAGTCTAACTCCTTTCTTCAGAAATCTAATGGCTCTATAGAAATGGCAAAGCACTTCTAACAGTGAAGGACCCTATCTCACAGCAGACTTTCTTGCTTTCTAATCAGCAGTTCTGCTGACAAGAAATGTATCCTCATGAGTGTCTGGTGTGATTCCAGCCCTTTCTGCCAGATGAGTTTCAGCAGTTAGTTCTAGATCTCTTCAGTCTTGGCAGTATTGTTCGTGTGATGTTGGTTGGGGGTTTGTTAATTTTTGGGTTTTTTGGTTTGGTTTTTTAGATTAAAATCCTTCTAAAGATCACAAGTTATAATGGCACCTGCCAAGCATCCAAAAAAATAGGTATAAGAAGACCATGTGGTCAATACAGTTCTGTTATTCTTTCATAAGCACTTAAAATTAATTGCTATTGTTCTGGTATAATGTGAGGATATGTCTGATATGCCCTTTTATAAAATAATCTACCACTGTCATATACAGTCACAGAAACAAGGTCTTGAGGAAATACCTAAAACAAGATCTGAGCCAAGAATGTCTTGCTACTGATTTATAACTGTTTTGCTGAAGCTCTTTCTTGGCCTGTTAACAAATGTGGTTTTTTTAATACATTCTTCTGTTGTCTCAAACAAAATACTAATTCAATAAAGAAAAGGTACTTTCTGTCACCAAAGTACACATGTACTGATTTCATACTTCAGTCTAAGACATCATGCATGTTAGATACTACAGTGCTTTCATTTCCAAATAGACTGTGTCTGAAAAACCAATTTCTTCTGATTTTGTAAACTGGTAGTTAAAACTATTATCATAATAAGGGAATCAGTTTTTTTTGGCAGGATTTTGATTCATTGGGTTTTTTTGAAGGTGGGGAAAGGAAGCCAAGTTAGATTACACCATTGTCTGCAATTCAAGTTAAGAAAGGTTGTTTAGAGAGAAGTAGTAGCACCCTAATATCCTAGGAAGCAGATAATGTAGGAGGCAGTAATTTTATCTGTGCCACTGGCTGCATTGCTGGGACTAGATTACAGTTCCAGCTCCTGTGTTTTCTACACAGGAATGCTATTTATCAAATAATTTTAGCAGCTGATAATGAAACACGGCTTCTGGTTGAAGAAATTGAAGTGTTGATATTCTAGGCCTTAGAACAATGCCTCTAGTAGCACAGCAAGAAGCAATTAAGAGGGATGTAACACTGACAAATTGAGGGCACACAGAAATCAACATCCCCTGATTAAACAAGGGCCAGTCTAGTTGTACATCTCATTTCTTTTTTAACTGAAGCATGCAAGCAGAAGTGTGTTAGCATGATTGTACTACCAGGGTCTATTTCTAATCTCAGCTATGAATATTGAATCCATTGAAACCAAATATCACAACACAATTTAAATCAGTGAAAAATGCATGTGTGAAGCACATCTCCTGGGCCATTTGATTCATAAAAGACAATTGAACCAAGTCATATGTTGCAGTTTGTACTGTGAGGAGCCCATCACATGTTTCTGAGTGCACACCTTAACCTGCCAGGGGATTGTTCGGATTTATGTGGAATGAAGTTGTGTAACACCCATAATCAAATTACTGGGTAATTTAAAAATCAGTTTACTTGCTTAATTAGTCTTGTCCCACTTTAGCATATGTAGAACAAGGCAGTGCAGACTAGTAACAGTTATTAAGTAATGTCCCTTGTGCAAGACAGTCCACATTTCCACACTTGAAATTGCTTTATAATTGCAAAAGGACAGCTAAATTCCATAGATGTCTGTCCAGAGCCTGAACTCCTATGCTGCTGTTGACTAAAATAAACAAAGCTATTTAAAAACAAAATCCCCAACAACTGTCCTACTGTGACTGCCTTGATATACAAAAACTGATGAATGTGATTAATTGCTTATTGATTCAACCTTCACCTGTCAAGTCTGAAAGTTTTCTCAAGCCAGACAGAAAGTTTAATTTGCTTTTGTTACAGATAGACATACCTATTTTTAATGTCAGCTTACTGCCTCCCCCCTGCTGCTGCTGCTCTAGGCATGGTGATGGAAGCTAAGACCATTTCACTGAAGAAATGTTTGCAGCTACTTGCAATGTTGGGATTTTGTGTAGCCTCCTTTTATTTTACACAGAAAGATGTAATGGGTGTGTTTTTTCATATTAATTTGCTGCACACATAGTTGAGATCCCTCACAAACACTGAGGGGATGGTCTGATTACTTTTTCTTAGATTTGTTTTTTTCAGGTCCAGTAATCATCCATATATATTTTTCTTTTCAAGTTTACATAAGAGATTTATGCAGCTTTACTAATTATTCAGTTGTGAAAAACAAAATTGTTGCAAAAAAAGGTCAATATGTGAGCAACAAGAAAATCATATTTAATTTTTTATTATTACTGCATAGCCTAGTTCTAGAAAAACCGTCAGTCTAAGCTTCTAGCAGATTTAATGTTTATGTAAATACAAGGAGTTAATCCAGTTTACTATAAACTAAATTAAATAAGGTGTTAAAGAAGAGACCAAGCTGTTTTGGGTGCTAGCATTTAAATGGGAAAAAAAAAAAAGGTCAGTTTGCAAAGAAAATTTTTTACCTTTACAGTTTCAGGAATCCATACAGTGAAGCCCCATATTATTTCAGGGGAAAAAAGAATGGCATCTCCCATGTTAAAAAGCAAAATTTTGGCAGTTAATGAGGACAGGAGAAGGCAGGAATTTGAATCTTCAACAAAATCAAGCAGTAGTTCTGGGACACACATGCAAGTGAGTTTGCTTTAGAGTCAATTACAAGTCAAGGCTTTGCTTAGAGGCAAAACTCCAGAGCAGGGCCCATAGACGTCCTGGCAAATACCTGCAAGGAAAGCAGCAAGAGTAAATAAAAGATTTTCAGTGGAGTGAGCAGGCATGATGGAGAGTGGATGGACAAGCAGCAGGTGAGAGCTTCAGACAGGGTCCACAACTAACAAAATACTCCTTCCCAGCACAAGCTGGTGTTCCACTTTCACACATCCAGTTCCTTGGGCTACAGGTGCAAGAAGAAAGAAATGCAAAGAAAAAGCTGGATTTCACCTCAGTGACTGGCAACATCAGCTTATGGCAAGATCCTGCATATGGCATGGATCATCAGACAAACTCGTCTGCTTTTGGAAGGCCATAACTGTTAGTGAGAAAGGCACACCCAAGCCCTGTGAGCAGTAAAACCTCTCATCTTTTGGACCAGAAGAACGAGATGAGCCAGGAGTAGTGCTCAATCAAAGAAGTGGCACAAGCCACAGTTTGCCTTGGGAAGAAAACTGCAGATATTTATGCATTTTTGCCTTTGACAGTTAAGAGAGTCTGGAAACTGAACATACCAGTTGGCCAAAGGCTGTGATCTAGAACCAAGCAGACCATGTGGTTGTTCCCTCAAGCCCTGCCTACCAGTTTTTCAGACCATTGTAACTTGGCAGAATCAAAAATTTTAAAGGTCCTTTGTAACTATGTCTGCTCCCACACAGTTAGGTACAGGAGAGGACAATAATTAAAAACAAGCTAGCCTGTTTACATACCAAGAAGCACTATACTTAGGACATTTTCTGATCCACAGTGAATCAGCTCCGAATTAAATTAATTGTATGTGGGACAATCTCAGTCTAATCTGTTTTGCAAAGTTTGTTCTCCTAGCTCAAGGTTTACACATGAGAAATAGAAGGATCCCAGTAGTGAGACTGCCTCTGCTGGACATTGAGCATTTAAGGTAACTCCAGTCTTTCCTTAATGTTTTGTACTATTAGTCTTGTCTTTCTTTTAAACTTGCTAAGCTTTCTCTATTTGGCAGATACACAGTGTAGGAAAAAAACCAACAAAACATCTCTAGGTTTTTTCCTCTTTATATTTCAGTGAAAATGGGTCATCTCAGTAAGAAAGATTTTTTTATTTTTTTTGTCTGCACTAAAAAAGATGATCACAAGCACTCAGTTGTAGCAAAGAGTTGCCATCTTTTTAAAGTGGAACTTTAATTCAGGTACCTGGATTAGACATAGTCTAATGTTTGGATTAGATATAGTCTTTTCTCAGGCTACACCCACCATCTGAATTGCACCAGTATTTAAACATTTGAGTAGTTACATATAATTTGCATCAGCTTAGTTTCCAAAATGCTACATTTGCATTTCTGCAAGAGGTGTACATGCACCATCCCCTGAGAGCTAGAAACAGTTCTCTTAAGACAGCCATATCCAGCTCCATGAACCTTCATGCCTTCTGTGTGAACCAGGTGGGAAAAAGAAGTAAATGTGACTGGATGGAAAGGAGAAAACAGGGAAGGGGAAAAAAAAAAAAAAGTGAAAGGAGCAGGAGCTAGTCCAGAAATGTCAGAGGAAAGAAAAGTGAAACAGCAGAAGAAAACAGACAATAGTGGCAGGCTATGAAGATCTAGCAACTGCAGTACACTCCTCTACTGACCCTTCCTTTGCTGTCAGCTGAATGCCCAACCAAAATGTGCCTCCTCATCTGCAGCTAATGCTGTTACCATTTATTTTCGAATTATGCTGAGAAACAGTAGATCTAAAATGATTCTTTAGAAAAGAACATTGAAATTAAAAATACACATTATCTCAAACAACTGTTCTTCAGATTTAAAATCAAGATAAGTTGCATTAGAAGTATACTCAGGCTGTGAAGTGGCCAGAAGTGTAGAAGCCATTCATTCCCCTTTCTTTTTGAATCAGATACAGTCTCTTTGTATGATCCCAAAATTCCCTTTACAGAGATCCCTTGTTTTACTCACTACACTTGATGGGCTGCATTCCTGTGAAGAATGAGAACAGCATAACAAAGGAGAAAGCTGTTCCAGTTTTCATGACATCTTTCTTTTAAGAAAAGGGGTAATGCTACAGACCACACATCTCAGTATCTACTGGGTCCACTAAACTCTCACCCTAGCTCTGCCAGATGCTGCACAGGCATTAGGCTGTGGTGTCTAGCTGATACTCCAGTCTGTGATACCAGGGGTATTTTGTTGCATTTTGGAAGTACTGATCACAAAGGCAATTAAGACAGTAGAGCTATGCTGCAATCATATAAAGTACTGTTAAGTGAATTCTAATGTTTTTTTACATATCAGTTGAGTCAAAACTATCCAGCAATCTTGATTTCAAACTGTGTACGTCAAAGCTCCATATGCAACACAGGCACAATATTCCCTTACTTTTCTCATTATCAGGAAGATAAACTAATGTAAAAAGTCTAAAGCTGTCAAAGTAGATTTAGTTTGATCCCAGCAGTCTTCAAGGATCACAGAAGGGAGAGCACCATAGGAAAACTGATAAAAAAAATTAATCACTTCAATGCAAGGTTTGTCTGGTTCACAAAATAAGCAGGGCTCAGAGCATGCTGAACATAGACACCCCCATGCTGGCTGAGGCATTGACATTGTGAAAGGCCCAGCACAGGGAAAAAGAGGAGATGTGACTGTGTGATTAAGAGCCCTGTAAGCACAGGGCAGCAGGTTACATACAAGTACTTACTATGATTCTGGCATTTTCTTATTTTGCAGTGCATAAGTGTCTGAGCTAGACAGGTTGAGATTTTAATTGATGAGGAGAATGAAAGATACAGCAGATCCTGTGCAAGAGAGACAATAAAGGAACTTGACACAGATCCCACTTACTCAAGGTGTGCACCACAACCTCCCACCATGCCATCTGCACCAGCCTCTGCTCTGGCAATGGGTCAAGCATACTACATTTGCTTTGTGAAGATCTTCCTTGTACCTTTGCCCGCCACAGCAGCAACCCACTAATTTTCTCCTCCGACCTCTGATCAGACTCTATATTTATTTCTTCCTCTTGTGACTGCTCAGTTGATTATCTGCCTCCTTCCTATCAAGTAGCCTGCAAGTGCAGTGCATGCCCATATCATTCCAGATAAACATCCCAGCCACCCAAACGGGTTTTGAAAGGAAGCCAAGAGACTTTGCCTATCCCCGTCTCAAGCTCCCACTTTCAGTAATGTCTGTGTTACACAATATCACAACAACATACCAGCACAAATCCTGCTTCCCACGGCCCTTGGTGCCAGGGCTACCTGCAGTCTGAAATACCTTCTTTATTCTTTTTAAATAAATACCACCTTTTTTTTTTTTTTGGCTTGGCTCTGAGTGTGCAGAGCTGGGCCAGCACCTCTGTCTGCTACATGGGGGTTAGTTGTCCTTGCCAAAGGAGTTGTCAGCCACAGCATGACAGGTGACAGCCGTTTCCTGTTTCTGAAAGCAGAGTTACCAGCCACACCATCCCTCTCCTTAATTTAGAAAGCTGTTTTGTTGTCATCTGGTTCTACACTTCCACATGCAGGCTGAGGGCTCTAACTGGAATAACAGCACTGAGGTTACACGACACTTTCCCTGTTCAAACCACTGGGCATGGAAACCCACAGGAATTGTTTACTGTAAACATTTCCATTTCCCACAGACTAAACCCAACAGGTAGCAGCAAGCAGTCTTGCTCCCCTGCATTTTCTGCTGTAACATGATAACAAAGGAGCGTGCTCAAGAACCACTATATGGAATGGGGTATAACTCTTCAATTTTACCCTGTGGACATTCTACGTTTGCAGTTGAAGATTTATGCCAAATATACTTCTCAGCTCTGAGTATCTGCCAAGTGGATTCTTATTAATGGGGGGGGGGGGAAGAGGTATAGCAGATTTTTTGCTCAGCATAAGGGATGAAACTAATCTCTGCTGCTATAAATTACAAAGCAAGACCAGAGCTAATATCAGCAATTTTTTTACAGTCACCTCTTCTTGCAGTTTCTAAAAAGCAGTCTCAACCCTTTGAAGTTTTTGAATCTAAATTCCTGCTTACAACTGTTAAAATACGAGGGTTTTTTATTCTGGTATCCACCAATTCTCAGAGACACCACCTTCTGTAATGATATTTACAGATGCCAGTCCCACAATCTGTCCTATGCAGACAAACACCCACACCTTGAGTCCTCAGTAGACCCACGTGCCTGGCAAGTCAGAGAGTAAGAAATGCAGCAACAAACAGCAGTAACAAAAGCACAATACATGCTACAACATGTGGAGCATGTGGGTCAACTTACAGTGGAGCTGTAAGTCACGTCACTACAAAACACCAGCCTCCACTGTGCAGATATAAAAAAAATTCTGAAAGAGACACAGATTTGAGATGAAATGTGATGGCTACAATCCTAATATAATTCCGTATTTTAACTCTATACTGTACAATGTCTAGCAACCTTATTTCAACATTATTTTTAATCAAAGAAATCTAATCCATAAAATAGTATCCATAACTTTTTCTTCTAGAAAGGTACAGTGAAACATTGCTCTTTCTTTCCTTTTGAAGACATAAACCACCTAAAAGGATTCATAAGTAAAAATATGAGAACTAGTAACCATTCCACTTTTTCCTTTAAGATACTAAAATTTCCAGCTCAGTTTGGTTCTGAAAGCTTCTAAACAAATTATGTAAATTACTTATCCTAAGTACTTGGTTCACAACAACAACAAAAGGACTTAATGATTATATCACTTTTAGTCTTTTAAAGTTATGCTAATGAAAACACTAATCAGAGATTGCAGTCACATTTTCAGTCCTTACCTGCTGTAGGTGGATTTGATGGAGCAATAAGATTTATAGCTTCATCATGACACAACATATATAAGGCTGAACTCACTCAGTTGCTAATGAAATGTGATCTGGGGACTCTTGCACCAGCTGTGTGATGATTAGGGCTTATCACAGATAGGTCTAGGAAAAGGCTGGGAAATACTTAAGCTTGTTTTGCAGTTGCTTTGAGCTCTTAGGAAAGGAGCAATTTCTCTACAACATCAGCCTGAAGTTTTCTGCCCATACAAGAGAGGTAATGAAAAGGTTTTTAACTGATTTGCAAGTGATAGGGTTGTATGAAGTCTGGCAAAATCCTATCAAATCTTTCTGGTTTAGTGCCTTTTAAATTGTGAGATGGGTACTTTGTCTTCTCAGACAGCTCAAAAAAAGGTTAATTAAGCAACTGGGTTCAGAGAAAACTTGCAGAACTTGCTCTATATGATGCCTCTTGACTTGAAATTCTGCTTTTAATAGTTGCCTGCTGGCACAACAAGCAACTCTGAGTAGGTTTCCCACAGCAAAAAGGTGATCTTAAATGTAGTTTCTGATTATGGGAATGGCTCCATATAAACTACAAGAAGCAGGGCCACTCAAACATCTAAGTTATTGAGTAATTTTTAAAATAAATGTGTTAAGAAGATAGCTCCTACCCTCATAAAAATAAATACTTTAAAAGCAGAGGAAGGTCAAGGTTATACTCTGACTTCTAGAATATCTTGTCCATACATGCTATCAGCTGGGGGAAAAAAAAAAGGAAGGGAAGAATCTATGTGAGTAGTAGAATACCTGTCTCCTTAACACAGACTGTAGCTCAGCTGCAGAGCAGAATTCTGTTTAAAGCCCTTCTGGATTCAGAGGCCTACACACCTTCTACTCCTTTCCTTGGTAAGGGTGGTCTCCAGCTCCTCTCAAAACAGACCTGCTGCCTGCCAAGTGAAAACTACACAATAGCTTTTAAAAATCAGTAGTTTGCATGAACTGTGAGATTTCAAATTAGGTGATTAAATGACTGAGAGGTTTTTCAAAGTGCATTGGAGAAATAAGACATCAAATATAGAAGAGCATGGTAGAAAAAGCTTCCTCCTGTCTTTATTTTAAAATACATCCAAAGGTCATTCTTTTGTATCCTAAAGGAAGATTTATTGAGGGAGGTTTTTTTCCATGAATGTCTCTTTTTCAGGTCAAATTCAGTCATTTTTGTAAAAGAAAGCTATTTCCTTTTCTATTGAACCAAAGGCTTGCATATTTACAATTCCCCTGCAAATGGACAGTGAGTTCTTTGTTTTTGAAAAAAGCTGCTCACTTGTATCCCAGAATATGTTCATAATATTTAAAGTATGTGTTTAGGTACAGCATGGGGCAAGGTTAGGCTCTATTGTATGAGTGTGGTGGGGTTTTCTGGAGTTTGTGGGGTTTCTGTGTCTTTGGCTGTTTGTTTGGATTTCTTTTTATGACTGTTTTACATGGTTGTAAGACTGTACCTGAGAAGCTTTCAACATCAATAGCTCAGAAACACTTCAGAGTAGTGCTCGCTTTAGAGATGCAAGTACGCAGTGCCAGTCTGAGCTTAAGGAGTCATCCAGAGAACTGATAGGTCAGCAAACCTCCTGCTTACAGTTCAGGTCCCACTTCTTCCCTAATGATGTTAACTACTTATCACACTCTCTTTGAAATAGTTTCATTCTGTATCTGACTTGGGGTAAGAAAAAAGAGTCATGAGAGCTATACCTAATACAAGTCCTTTAAGTCCCAGCATTCTGCAGACATGTTAGCCAAGAACTAGATGAAGAAACAGTTTTGTTCTTAATACTGCCACAATCCAACTGGAGGTCATATGACACAAACCCACGTAGAGGGTACCCCAGCCCTTTCTGAGATGTATCCCAGACCAATGCACAAGAGTGGTAACACTCCCCATGCAGATGCTGGGGCTGCCCTTGGTGCTCCTCAGCATGGCTGGGCTGAGTTGCAGAATTCCATAGTAGTTGCTTTCCTTTGGACCTGTACTGGAGGCTACAGTTCCTCCATTCTGTGGACTCTGCCCAGAGTAGAAGGCCAAGGCTCAGTGCTCTCCAGAGCACTTCCCTGAGGAAACTCAAAACCATGCTACTCTTGTCTGGAACTGCCTGAAGGTGTTGTCTGTCCTTTCCTTACTGCTAACTATAAAGCACTGCATAGAAAAAAGTTCAAAATTAGGCCAGAAAGAGGAAGAAAGAGAAGCATAAATTAGCATATTTTTCTGTGGATTAAATTTGTTAAGCCCCTTTTGAGGGGGAGGACAAAGAAGAAGTGAAAGAGTAACACAAAAAGAATAATAACAACAAAAAGAACAACTTTTTAAAAGTGCCTATTCATGAAGGCTTTTGTCAAAAAGCACAGAAATACTGCTCTTAGTCTGAGAAAGATTGTCATGGAACAGACTGACATTGCCAAAGCTTCACTCCTTACTGTTGTTAACTTTAACTCTCTTGGAACAGAAGAATTTAGGTTAGGAGGAGGATCTGGAGGCCATCTGGTCCCTTTCTCATGGCAAAATTACTCTCAAAGCCAAGTCAGTCTGCTCTGGCCCTTGTCCTGTTGAAGTACAGAGACTCAACCTCTTTCCTGGACAGCCATTCCAGTGTTCCCTCACTTTTCCTGTAGGAAATTTAAGTCAGTGTGGTGCTATCACCTTCAGGGTTTCCAGACTCAGACCAGTCAGGTTTCCATTGGTTTTTTTTCCATAAAGTGCACCCTGTGAAGTGCAAATTTAATTACAGTCCAAATACTAGGCTAGTGCAAGTCGTTCTGTTTGTTTAACTAGGATTTCTGATAAAGGCTCCCTGGAAGCTCTGATAGCAATATGCAGTTACCTGGGCTGGAGCTTTACCATCCACTGCAGTGGGTGCTAGGGCTGGATGTAGTGTGCCATAACATTGCATCCTCTACCCTCCCAGCTCCTGACCCAGTGGCTACCAGCACTGCATGTGCATTGCATGGCTCCCTGCAAAACCATCTGGCTAGAGGCAGCAGTGTCAAATACTACTGTAGGATTTTAACATGCCTCAAAGAAGGAAATTGGCATTAGGCTTTGTTGAAACACATCTTAATATTTTTCTTCTCCCTCTTTACAAATAAGAAACTGTTAGGATAGTTGGACTGATTAAAATTAGTTACATGCTCATTAATGAGATTAGGAATATGTGCACAAGTCTTGAATCTAGATGAGAAGAGCACTAAGGGATAAAATGTGCTATGCAAATACCCTGTGCTGAGGGCCAGATAACTTGGAGCATCCTGTGCCCCAGCTTTGCAAAATCTTTGTCTGATCACAGCAGCCAGCAGAAATATCACAAAGAGCATGTGAACAGGTGCTCAAATGTCTCCTGTGGCTTTGCAAGGCAGATACAATTTCAACTAAGGTTTCTTGTGCTGAGCTGTATTTTTGAAGGCTTTACTTTTATTTTTGCTCTTATCTGTCTGGCTGTGAATGCAAACAGGCAGACCTAGACATGCAAGTTAAATGTGCTATCTTCTGGGAGGATTATGAACTTTCTGTAACACATTTTCCTAGATATCTTATTTTTGCACATTTGTGTAAAAATCCTCTTTTTGTAAAAAAGAGAATATCAATATTTCAGGGATAAGCATTATATTTCAAGATTAGATAATTTCCGATACCTATTAATATCTTTCCCGTCCCCAATGCAGGTTAAAGATTTTAAATTCCTCTATTCAGTGAAGACTCTTGCAGAAATACAGCACAGCAAATGATATGTTTTAGACCTGCCTGTGTAAGGCAGGTGTAAAACCTCCCTAAAAGGGGTTTACTGCAGCTCCCTTCCCTTCTCTTTGTTGTACAGCACTTCTCCACTGACAGTGGTTCAGCTCCTGATGGAGCAGCACAACATTCCCAGCGAGGTGCCGGCAGCCCTAAAGCGCCTGGCCAAATACATAGTGCGTGGTTTCTATGGGGTGGAGTGCTCCCTGGCCCTGGATGTGCTGATCCGCTACCCCTGTGTGAAAGAGGAGGACTTGTTACAGCTGCTCAAGTACGAGCGTAAGCAACTGCGCACTGCCCTCAACGCGCTCAAGGCGGACAAGCTGGTGAGGCTGCGGATGCGAGTTGAAACGGGGCCTAGCGGCAAGAGCACGAGGCACAATTACTACTACATCAATTACAAGGTGCTGGTGGATGTGGTAAAATACAAACTGGATCATGTACGTCGGAAAATAGAAGCAGATGAGCGGGATTCAACGACCAGATCCTCTTTTAAATGTCCATCTTGCTCTAGCACATACACGGACCTTGAAGTCAATCAGCTCTTTGATGCGTTTACAGGTGTGTTACTTATATTGTTTATTTGCTCTTATCTTAAAGAATAACCCTGATAGCACAAAACTGTTTTTCCTAAGTGAACTTCGCAACAAAAGCATGTTTGTTAGAATGTGCTTCTTGTTTGCTGGTGAATGAGGGCCTGGAACAGGGGATGCTGGGAGGTGAGGGTAAGAGAAGTGCTGCTTCTATAGAACATGCCAAAAAACCTGAAGATTAATCTTGAATGTACGAGCTGGGGTTGAGAATCAGATTCCAGGCCTCAGCTTTGCTTTGAACCTGGTTGAGTAATCTTAACTCATCCATGTCTTGTGAGTCTCACTTCCTCATATGAAAATATGAACGCAGTACTGTCTTTACTCTGCTTTGAATCTCTTAGTTAATCTATTTGTGTGGTCAATCCTTCTGACTGACGAGTTGGACAAGATGGGTAAAATGTTTGCAGTCACCTACTCTATTAAGCATCTTGCAGCTCAGCAGCACCAGAGCAGAGCTGTTCTGTCACTCCTGGGCTGGGAAGCTCAGACTCCTCACAGGTCCACATGACACATCCACAGCAGAAGTGGTGTCAGAGCTTGTTTTTCTTCTCTAAAATCAAAATGAGTCAAAATGGCATTATAGTGCAATACATTACTCAGAGCACAGCTACTGTGCTGACATCTGGGTCATGGGATCTGCAAAGGGTGCCAGAGCCAGGCAGAATGAGCTTTATATATGACTAACCTGAAATGCCATTGGTGAAATTTGTATTC